GTGCCATCCTTCTGGCACTCACTTTTGAGATATTTACATGTACTAATGAGATCCCCTCTCAGTCTTCTCCAGATTAAACAGACCCAGCTCCTGCAATCTCTCCTCATCAGAGAGATGCTCCAAACCCCTGATCATCTTTGTGTCCCTGTTCTGGTCCCTCCCCAGTAGCTCCTTGTCTTGTACTCTGGCAGAGGGAAGGTTGTGGGGTCTGTCATGTTTATCCAAATGGAATTTGTCATGCGCCATCCTGGCCCTGATGATCTTAGTCAATGTACTGGATATATTGAATAAGCTATCCTAAATTGTGTCTTCTTCTAGCTGCAGAAGCAAAATGGGCTTTCAAAAGGCTGGAGGGTGTCCTCTTTACTCTCAAATAAATAAATAAAAAATAGGTTTGACTGGAGAAGCTCAGCAGATGGTCTCCTATAAATCCTCACAAGTCAGCCAACTTCTAAAAGAACAGTGGAGCAAGAGTTATGGGTGGGAAGGTTTGTGCATCTAATTCTTTTATGTAACCAAATATCCTGCACCAGACTGAGCCTGGTCTCCTGGGCATCCTCCTGTCATTTCTTCAGAAGTAACTGGGACATATAGCCACTGCCTTTAATGACTGAGCTCCTGGCAACAGCTGCTTGGGCTTGAATAGACATCTGATGCGTAAAAATCCTGTACCAGGGTGCATAAATTAACAGTACATACAAACAAGCCAGGAAAACATGATCCCAGTCCTCTTAACACTAATTCCAGCCAGGGTCTAAACTGAATAGATGGCAAACAGGGTAAAATCTTAGCTGTTATGAAGGTTCTGTCTGATATGTGGTATTTTGTCTTTTTTTTTTTTTTTCCTACAAGGAATTTCAATTTGCAAACTGGAGCAATTAACTCTCAAAGTATGAAAAATACAGGATGGGCCACAAGGATGATCAGGGGACTGAAGCACCTCCTATATGAAGATAGGCTGAGAGTTGGGACTGTTCAGCCTGGAGAATAGAAGCCTGCGTGGAGACCTCATAGCAGCCTTGCAGTATCTGAAGGGGGCCTACAAGGATGCTGAAGACAGACTCTTCATCAGGGCCTGGGGTGATAGGACAAGGGGTGATGGGTTAAAACTTCACTGGAATGGGTTGCCCAGGGAAATTGTGAATACTCCATCCCTGGCAGTGTTCAAGGTCAGGTTGGACAGAGCCTTGGATGACATGGTTTAGTGTGAGGTGTCCCTGCCCACGGCAGGGGGGGTTGGAACTGGATGATCTTAAGGTCCTTTCCAACCCTAACTATTCTATGATTCTATGTTTAGGTGTTACATTTAAATCCTCTTCTTTCTCAGACTGAAAGTATTATCCCCCTCTAACCTCCACAGGCAGCTGAACAGTACAGAGAGAAATATTCTGTATGCATTCTTCTGTATCTTCAAGCCCCCATTTTAAAATATCTCCTTACTTTTTTTTTTTTTTTTCTATCTAGCCATTCATATATTTTAAATATCTTAGTGGAGCACTGATCAGTGCCCACAACTGGAACTAAACAAATTTCAATTCATTGTAGACACCAGCACCTATAAATCCTGTGTCATGCTTTTATCATATTACCACGTTAAGCTGATTGTAGCAGGCTAGCACTGGTGAGCCAACATGGCTGAAATCTGAACAAGAATTCATATGTCCACTTCCCTCAGAGGGATTCTCTTCTCTATATTTGATGGAGTAAGATAAGCAAGAAGCATACTTCAACAAACGTACTACACCTGGGTTCGTAGCTATGCTGTTTAGTGTACACTAATTGCATCCTTACCTTAAGGCAAAATCCCTAGAAGGAGCAAACTCTTCTTGGAAATTGTGGATAAACCATTAAAGACCTCAGTCAACTTGTGCAGGGAAATTACATGCATTTCACAATTACTTAACAAGGAGTGCTTTCTGATCCTTCTAACAGTAAAGCAGCAATAGATCCTGATACCTGCAGCACAGTGTAACGACTGACATTCAAGCCACTTGGTAACAAGGTATTTTGGCTTAGTTGCTCACAGTTGTCCAGTGACTTTACTACTACAGAGAAGTTTGTAAACACTCACTGAAGTCTCTAGGCTAAGGACAGTAACATTCGCTTTATTAAAGCAAAGATATTCTGTCATTCTGATGGCCTTTGCAAAAGCAGGGTCTGGAATGCATTGCAGCCCTTGGAAAGAATATCATCAAATGTCTGAAGTGCTTCAGGGGATCTCAAGCACCTGTATAGCACAGCAGTTGTATTTAAAATGGTCTTTGCATGAGAGAGGCTGCAAAAGTCTTCTGACTTAAAACCACTTCACAATGAAGAGAAATAGAGCCTCATGTAATTCTGTACTCGTTCGGAGGTTTGGCAATTGTGATTGTGGTGCGCTGTTTTCTATTTTCATGAAAACAAGGCAAATTTGGGCTTGGATATAAATCACTTCACAGTGGTGCCTGGCTCATGGCTGTGTGAGGTCTTCTCTGGCAATGCCTCCTGAGTTATCAGCCTGACCCTGGGTTTTGGTGTCCCCACCATGCTGCCCCCCTGCCCAGCCCCAGCTCCTGAGTTGAGCCCTAGCAACCTCTGGGGGCTGGCCTCCAGGGTTCCTGCCACCTGCAAGTCCCCTCTGCCATGGGCCTTTCCTAGGCCTTTGTCCCTCCCCTGGGTCTGTGTCCTTGAAGTAGCCTAATGTCAACCCACACCAATTAAACCACTCTATTGCAAACCCCTTCTGTTTGGGAAGGGGAGCTGCTGCCAGGGCCCTGACCAGCCTCAACTGCCCTCTGCTCAGTGGCTGTTTGAGTTCGAGCCTGTGCCACTGGCCCTTGCCAGATCTGAGCTGCAGGAGTGCTGGTCTCCAGCTCAGCCATAGCCATGCCCCTGGCTTCCTAGCTGGATGTTGGACCTTCTTTGTCACTACGAACTTGTCTGGGCCGTGTCTGACACTGGCTACCATAATCAGGTCTGATTCTGGTCCCCACCCATGGGCTGACTTCGTGGCTTGACCTTAGATCTGTCTTATCACCATGGACTTGCCTGGTGATCACTGGGCTGCGTCTGATCCAGGTTACCACCACTGGACCTGACCCGGAGCTGCGTTTCTAGTTTGACGTCAGACTTGTCTCATCACCATGCACTTGTCTGCTCTGGATTCTGGGCTGACCCTGTCTCCTCTCCTGGGGCTGCCCTGCTCACAGTCTGTAGGGGCTGGGGGAATGAGGCCCGGCTGTCCTGCCAGACTTACCATGCTGGGCTCCCCTCCCACATGGAGCAGATGGCCCTTGCTGCTTTCCACAATGTGAGTAGCACCTTCACCAGCACCAATCCAGCAACAGAGAGTTGGCAGGATTACAACTAGACTTTGCATTGTCTCACGACGCTGTTCACCTTTCTGCTAAAGGGACATGAAATGGTGAATGCTGAGAATATTCACCCCTGGAAGCACATTTGATCTTCAGCCAGGTCTTGAAATGTAACAGCCTCTCTGTAATAATATTCTGCTTATAAATTACTATTCATTTTTGTGCAATTGTAAGGAGAGAGCGATGAAAGTAGTTAAAACAGAGACTTTCATGCTGTGGCAATAACTGTACACTCTTGAATACCACTGGCATCAGACTTAATTCCTAGGCATTATAATTATGTGAGGGCTCATTCTCTGTGAGTTTGCTCTCACTTGTCTTCCATATTTAATTTACATTGTAATATTTTGTACTTTTCTTCTAGGTTTGAATAGAAATATTGTATTAGGCAAGCAGGCGATGAAATTCTGCTCTCTGTTCTGATTAGTGTAATTCCACCAATTCTGGTTGAGTTACTAGGACTTGCTGTAATTTTAACCATAATCAAAATTTAATGTGTGTGTGGGTTTATTTTTTTTTAAAGCATCTTCATTCCATAGACGTTTTTGCTGTCAGAAGAGGGGAAAATCAACATAACATTCTAGTTTCTATTTCATGTTTGCATTTCAGAACCTTAACAACCTAACAGCAACTTTATACTCTTCATCCTGATGTTGGCAGGTAGCTCAGGCAGGAAATTAAAAAGAGCTGTCCAGTAAATAAAAGGCATTTACAGGTCTGTTAAGCAAGGAACCTACCCTCTGAACATAAATGTCTGCATTATCTTTATTGATAAGCAAATGGAGAAAAATCTATTTCTTCATATTTCTATCAGTTAACTACCTATGAAGAGTTCTAAAAACAAAGACCTTCCAGTAAGTAATAATTTGAGATGTTTTGGTTTATGTAATCTGTGCTCCTTTAGGAGTTTAGTCCTCCATACAGTTAAGAAATTCATGCTGAAATGTCATGTGAATAGCACAGTTTAGTAAGCAGCTGCTGAAATGAAGTAGTCAAAACTGGATCATATTAGATACAAAAACTGTAAGCTGAGTGATAACATTAATTCAGACCAATGTAAAGATTAAGAGAATTAAATAATCTATGTTTGATGAAAATGTACACATAGAGCATATACACTGACATCCTGAGCACTACCACACACCCACACAATCCTCCTCAAAGGTAGTCCATACTTAACAATACTATAATAATGTTTAGGCACTTTGAGTTAGATGTTGTACAGGTGAACATGCTACCTCACTATAATTCATGGTTTAGTCACATTCTGGTTTATGTCACCCCTCTTAGTTTCAACAGAACTTTTTTTTAGTCATCAAAAAAAAAAATACCAACCATAAATTTTAATGTCTAATGTCTAATGTCTGAATCTAAGAGTTTTAACTTTTTGTCCTATTGCCTTTGAGACAGATCAAGCATGCTCTATACATAAAAAGACAAAAAACTATCCTCAATACAGTAATTATTTTGTCCATTTAGTTAGGTTTGATATACTCCATTTGTACCTTTATATGTTAATATATATTACTGTTTCTATCATCTTGGAGCTCTTGCAATGAGTTTATAATATTTTCTACTCATAACTTAAATATTTAAATTACAACACTAAAAAAACAAAACCCATCATGGAAAACACATCTGTGTCACCTTTTGTTGAAATCTGGGAGTCTCCCGAGCTTCCTCTTCTGTACCATGTTTTTGGCTGCCTACCATCTTGGTTACTGTGCTTCCCTTGCACTTTTCGCTGCAGCTATTGCTCTCTCAAGATTCTTAGATGGCTTGAACTGCACAGCAGAATTCCCACTTCTTGTACTTAAAAGACAATTGAGCAAAGGTCATGCCAAGTTGCTCTTGTATGCCTGTCCCAAGGGAGGTTAAAGATCAGCTCAAAGTCATCTGCTGTGATAATGCCATTTAGCAGAGGAAGTCCCAAGTCTTGCTGGATTGTTTTTCTTTTCCAAAGCAAAGTGCATCTCCTGATACCCCCTCTTTTTTTTTGTTTTTTCTGTTCAGTATTTAAATATGCTTGTTATGCTGTACTGCAGGAAACAGATGCATTCTTGTTATGGCCAGAGATGAATTTAAGGATTGAAGTAACATTCATGAAAAAGGCTTTTGTTTGACCTGTGCTGTCCCACAATGGAGTAATGGCAACAACTTCAGTTTGGTAAATTATCTGTATCACTGCATACCAGCTCAAATCATGGCATCACCTGGATGACAAACATGCCACCGTTTGTATGACAGGTGACAGAGTATTTCTTTATCAAAATATTGCTTTATTTATCAAAAACATTAAAACCTCGTCAATTCAAAATTCCAAGGCATGCGAAAGCTAGGAATATGTGAAGGGTGGTATCACTCAATTTACATTCCAACTGAAGAATTTCATGACATTGTTGCTTTTTTACCGTAGCTCAAAAATGGTGCAACTTCTGATTTTGAGCTCCACATCATGTTTAGTGATGGGATCTTGTTTTGTGCATGTGTATAAAAAAAGAAATAGACCAAACTTTTGTTTGGATACACTGCACCAAAAGAAAGGCAGTCTGTAGCTGTCATGATTTAATCCAGCAACAGCACAGAGCTGCCCAGTAGGATGGGGAGAAAATTAACTTTATCCCAGCCCAAAACAGGATGGAAAGTCAGACAGATATTCTTCCTATAGCTGTCAGTGTTTGCAAGGTTGCATGTTTGCTACGTCCTAGCTAGTAAGTAGATACTGCTGAGACAGGTGGTCTCATTTTCCTAAGTGTCTGGGAATGGGCGTTTGAGCTGTTGCGGTTTGTCTTTTGGCACCAGGGTGCTGCTACAAGTGGCTAGGGTTGGTTTTGCTTCCATCTAAGACTAGGTTCAGCAGCGAGAGTTAGTGTTGTGCTAGGAACTGTGTAGGTAAGTTAGAAGAACTGACATCTGGTAGGTTTATTATTTCTCTCTTATGAATGTTAAGGAGTCCTTGTGGAGAAGGAAAACAGATTTCAGTTTCAGAACCATAAAAATTCTCTCTTCTACATAGTTGAAAATAGCATATCCAAGCCGTAATACCAGTTAATGCTCCTGCAACAGCGTATCAGCTGTAAGGAAGAGTCCTATTTGCTCTCAAGTGGCTCTGCTGTGTTGGTGCCCCCTGCCTTTGTAAGAAGCTGGAGTCACTGCCTACATATCTTCATGAGCAGCAAATGCTCCTCCAGAAAATTCTGAAAATGATGGTGCAGGATCTACGGGTAGTGAGGGCCAGCACTGATGCTTTTGAAAAAAACAACCCAGTCAACCCCCTAAAAAACACAGAATCAACCAGGTTGGAAAAGACCTTTAAGATCATCAAGTCCAACTGTTACCCCAGCACTGCCAAGACCACCACTAAAAAATATCACTAAGGGCCACATCTACATGGTTTCTGAACACTTCCAGGGATGGTGATTCTGCCACTGCCCTGGGCAGCCTGTTCCATTGCCTGAACACCCTCCCTGTGAAGAATTTTTTTTCCCCAATATCCAATCTAAACACCCCTTGGTGCAGTTTGAGGCTGTTACCTCTTGTCCTATCCTCTGTTACCTGGGAGAAGAGACGGACCCCCAGCTTCCTCCATCCTCCTTTCAGGTAGGTGCAGAGAGCAACAAGGTCTCCCTTATCACTTCTCCAGGCTAAACAACCCCAGTTCCCTCAGCTGCTCCTCATCAGATTTGTGCTCCAGACCCTTCACCAGCTTTGTTGCCCTCTTCTGGACCTGCTCCAGCACCTCAATGTCTCTCTTGTAGTGAGGGGCCCAAAACTGAACACAGTATTCCATGTGCAGCCTCACCAGTGGGCAGTATGGAGGGAAGATCACTGCCCTGGCCCTGCTGGCCACCCTGTTTCTGATATAGGCCAGGATGCTGTTGGCCTTCTTGGCTGCCTGAGCACAAGCTGGGTCATGTTCAGCTCCATCAATAAGCACCCCAAGGTCCTTCTCCGCGGATCAGCTTTCCAGCCGCTCTTCCCCCAGCCTGTAGCTTTGCACCGGCCTCTCAGGCCCCCAGGATAAACCAGCACCTGCAAAGCCGCTGTCGTACCGGCGGCCCCCTCACAGCCCCACAGCCGCTCCCTCCGACCCCAGTCAGGCCGCCGCAGGCCTCGCCCAGGAAGCGGCTCCGCCCCGCGCGACGCTTCCGTCCCGCGCTCGACCTCGGGGAGTTCCGTGTGGCTGCCAGGCCCGGAGCCGCCACTGCCGCCGCTGATTGGCTGCCGCGCCGGGCGGAGGACTCGCGGGCCTCCCGCCTCCCGCCACTTTCGGGAGCCTTGGCGCCAGTGGAGAGCGCGGGCGCCATGGCCGAGAGCGGCGCTCAGGGTCCGCACGGTGAGGCTCGCGGGGCGGCAGTCCCCTTCTTCGCGGCGTAGGCGGCGGCCGCCGTCGCCTTGGGGTTTAAGGGGTGGGGGACGGGGCTGGGGGTAACGGGGCAGCCGCACTCGGGAAGGGGAAGGGGAAGGGGAGGGGGAGGGGGGAAGAGCGCACTCGCGGGAGCGTTCGGAGAGGGACCCTTCACCCGCCCGTAGGGGCCAGGGCTGGGGCCTGAGCGGCGCTGCCGGCGGCATCCCGCGTCCCCCGCCCTGCCGTGGCTTCGCGGCTCTGTAGCTGCGCTGCCCGGGCGGGGGGCGGGCGGGTGTTCTGCCTGGCGGCGGGTGCGGGCCGCGCAGCCCCCCGCTGCCCCGCGCGGCTCCCCGCTGTCCCGCACGCTCCCGGCACCAGTTTCCTCACTGCCGCATGGCCGGGTTATCCCGGACGGGAAGGCTGTGTGTGGGCTTACCTCCTCCTCAGGCCGCCTGGCGCGGCCCTGGCACTTCACTGCTGAGGGACCGGGCGGTGCAGGTGGTCTTAGCGAGGTGTGCAGATACGTTTGTGTCTGGAGGAGCGCGTAGCCTTAGGTGCTTTCTTACAGTAAATACAAAGAGTTGACAGGAAATCTGGTATGAATGCACCCAAAGCGTTGAATCGTTGCAGTTCCTCATCGGGTACCGAGCAGGGTAAATGCCCTTTTTTTAGCCCATCACAGCCCTTACGATACACTTCCTTACTCGGGGCTCAGCAGAATGCCCTCGGTGCAGCTCTGTTAACAGTTTGGCATCCTGCTGTCACCAGGAAGGAACAGACCTTCCCCTGTGCTGCCTGGCCTGGCTTGGGAGCTTGCACTAGCCCTGGGTCTCCTCTGCCTGGAGTCAGGGCATTCAGCTCGTCACACAGCCCATAGCCTTGCACCTAGGCTAATTGTTTGCTTTCGTGAGTTGGGTTGGGGTCAGATAAATGTTCCCCCCAAAAAATCAAGGGAGAAGTGGAGGTCACCCTGCTGGGGGGAGCATTGTGAAGGGAAGAAAGCATAAGAAGAAATGGAGCATCAGTCTTAATGCTGTGAGCAAATTACTCCTCAGTTGTCTTGGTCTAACTGCACTCAAACATTGTGAAACCACCAAAAAACCCATTACTGCTTTGTAGCAATATAGGCCTTTTCTGAGCCTATCTATTCCTGAGTTGTCATGGAGACATGCAAAATAAAAGAGCTGGAAATTCCCAAGGAAAGAGTGGAGATCCTTTTCAAATAATGGCTGATGAGATTGGAGAGGTGCTTTAGAAATCTAGGTGGTAGCTCCTTGCTGAATATGAAATCTCTTTGATCTGACTGTCTGAGACCATGCCTCTTCCAGATTTGGCTTTTCGAGAGCCATCCGTGACTGTCCTTTTAGCCAAGTAGGTCTCTGTGTTGATTTTAAGCAAAGCTGCAAGCATCTATTAATACATCAGTGAACACTAAGTACCAAAGATAACAGCAGCTCATTACTAAACTTATCTCTCCTGGTTTTAATGAATTGCAGCTATGCACGAGTCTGGCAGTTTTGCAGCATCGCGTTCTAGACGTGAGAAGAAGTCTAGAAGAGGCCAGCAAGAAGCGCTGGAACGTCTGAAAAAAGCCAAAGCTGGTGAAAAACTGAAATATGAGGTAAAGATGCCTCATCTTTTCAATAAAAAGTGTATGTGAGCGAAGATGCTTAACTATCTTTTATATGTCTCTAAAAGTTATGGGAAACAAAATCTGCCTTTCAGATCACCTTTTTTTTTTTTTAAGCAAGTATTTTTTTCTGAATGTAACAGTAATTGTTTTTCTACTTTCTGGTGTTTATTTGTTCCTTTCTGTTTTCAAAGCTAAAACAGCTCTATCAACTGGAAGGCAAACATGCTTGGTATGGCTTGAGAACTATCCCACAAGGAAGGACCAACTTTTTATATTTAATTGTGTAATTAATGTTATAAGAAGTACTTTTTTGTTTTTCTTCAACTTCAAATGATTTTAAAACTTTAAATGAATTCCAGAGCGTTACAAGACTGAAATCCATTAATATTGATATGCTGTGTTTCCACAAAGAACCCAAAATTTAAATATTTAACTGGTAGAGCTGAAATCGGCAATGTAACATCAATACTGCCCAATTAATAGTAATGACATCAGGAAGTAAATTCCACATTGAGGTGATTAAATCTAAAGAAGCCTGAAGTGTGTAGGTCATTAACATGCAAATTTACGCTGAGGCACAGAAGAACATCTTCTGCGTTATGCTTGGGCCCATCAAATTACCTTCCTTTTCATTGAGCTCATCTTGGTGTTTGAGAGTGGAGCCAGTGGTCTGAAGTCTCCATTGCTAGGGTTATTTTAATATGAAATGAGCAATAAATTAAGTCAGTTTCAAATGAAGTCTCTGCCAGTACTTCAGTAGATTTTGAGTTTGCATACACTGTGATGTTTTTAACAAGTGATAATGTCTCACTGCCTAACAAGAAACTTAAGCTGAATCACGATTGTCAACCATGTAACAGTGTAGGGAATGATGCATTTCTTGTGAACTTTTATGTTCTTATTGATGACCTGTATTAATAAATAATCGTATGGGAACTGTTAATCTCAGTATACCTTCACTGTAGGTTGAGGAGTTTACAGGCATTTATGATGAAATAGATGAGGATGAATATTCCAAGATGGTCCGAGAACGTCAGGATGATGACTGGATTGTTGATGATGGTAAGTTAAGATTGATTTGGAGAGTTATTTTGATTATAGTGTTATAACTTAATTAGGCTTCGTAATGTTCATGGTTTGAGGTAAGTTATAGCTAGGTCGTTCTTAAAAATTGTTTTAGGAGACAAGTTTTTATGTGGAAATGAATCTTTTGTGTTATAGTAGTGTGTTAGGATGGTGTTGAAAATATT